CCTGCTGACCAAACGTTCTTTTTCTTAAGTCCTACCCTGCTGTTGGTTCCTCCGCTAATCTGCTGAGGGGAAAAAACAACTGCTTTGCAATGGAGATGGCTCCAAACCCGAACGCAGAACGGGAATACATCCGTTCATCATAGCTCCAGGGAAAGGCAGGCTCCAGTCTTGAACTCTGGGCTTTTGACCCTTCGTGAGCTAGAAGTTGCCCCTTGACAAACACTGTGCCTGCCAAACGTTTCTCCCTCCGGCTGCTGCATCGACGTGAACACAGCTCAAGGAACAGTATTTGTTAGTTAATTCCTCTGCAAGGGCCACACAACACATTTCTGGGGATTCACAGCAATTCAAATAGAAAAAAAGACCGACGTCTTTAATTCTGTTTTTCATTAGCGCAGTGCAATTCCATTCACTTCCTCTAGCTGTAGATGGAGAATTAATGAGCGAATTAATCATGCCGACGGTGCTCCTGCTCTGCCGTGGAAGGGGCAGCACGGCCGTTTCACCAGGACCCTATGGTCAGGAGGCTCCTGTGAGCCTCGGCGCTATCCCATGAAATCTCCCACTTGTAAGGAGGGAGCCCAAAGGCCGGCGCTGGAGCCTTTGCTCTTCCAGCCTAGTCCTGCGGCCTCAGCCCCCACCTGCTTTCAATAACGAGGGGAATACGTCTCAAACGCTTTCTTTAACCTCAAGCCCTCAGCTGAGGAAGGGTGGAGAATTATTGGGCACTACAGTAAGTTTTATTTAATTTAGCGTCAAGTGGTGGACAACAATTTTGTTTCGCTTGTTCGCAGGGTGTAGGCCCTTTTCTAGACTGCGCTTTATTTATTTCTCTTCCCATTGTGTTTTTAAGTATTGTGCAAGCAGCAAGAGCAATTGGATGGGGGCTGATTATTATAATTATTTCCACTACTAGTAATTAAAACAAATACATTAGAAAGACGATTCATGTTATTTTTCAGCATGTGCTATCTCTTTCAGCCCTGCCAGCTGTTCATCACAGCAATTTCCATGCCAACATATCAGTAAGGAACCAGCAATTCCAGCAAAATGGATTTTGCTGTGATTTTGGTCTCACCTCAATGCAAGGGAATCAGAGGAGCCTTCAACATCATGTACATAAAAAGTTTATTTATTTATTTATTTATGTGAAAGGTGAGAACGTTGTTGCTCTAGCACACTGTTTTTTATTAGAATTTTTTATATGTTTTTCCCTTGTCTCCTATGCTTTGCTTAGCTTCCCTTCCTCCCAGAATCAGACAAAGCAGTTATTTTGGCAAGAGGAAACCTGCTTTCTAAAATATGCTGAAATCATACACTGGTCATAATAAAATTTAGGTCGCAGGATCACAAACAGTCCATCACGTAAAGAGACTCTTCGGTCCAGAACTAAAACGACTGTCTCTGACTTCCTGCCCAACAGCGAAGCTCGGCAGAACGTCTGCCCCAGTTGACTCCCATCTTTCCTACATCATCAACCAGCTCACCTCGTATTTGCAAATGCATAAATAAAGGCACTTTCAGCGCATTGACAGTCAACATGCAAAGGGAGGTAAAACAGGGGATAGTGGCAGTCAACCTTAAAAATGGAAAGGAAAGGACGTCTTACGTGGAGAAGGCATTGTTCTGTTTCTCACATCGGATCCCCTTGCAGTTGTTGGGCTCCTCCGAGGCACTGGTCTCATAATAAAAATAAAGCTGGTTCAGTCCATTGGCAAAAGCCAGAAGCACCAGACAGTAGATAAAAAGGAATTTGAGGATGTCTAGCAGCATGCGTCCCAGAGAAATCTGCAAGGGTCCCAGGTGTGAATTTGCTGTAAACAGGGATATGAGACGCAAGGAACTTAAAATGTTGGATATTGCAAAGAGGGCTTCTGCAATGAGTGTCGGGTGCCACATTTCCCATTCCTCCCTTGGACGAGAACCGTTATACTGAAAGAAATAACAAGGGTATACAAGTGAATTACGTTGTCATCACTTTGCGATAGCTTGAAAAGTCACACCTGTTTAAACTAATGCTTTATACATAAATACTAACTGGGTCCTGATGACAAAAGAAGTGATTTTTCAACTCTGCATCTCAGCGTCAGGCTAATCATTCAGGATTCAAGTTGAAGCTGAGTTAACATGGGCTCAGATTTAGCTTTCATGAAGCCTTCTTACGAACTCCCCTACAAGATTTTGTCCCCTTGATATGGATAGTTTTGTGGAACCAGTTTTTCTCTGGATTTTTCTGGTATGTTGGCTGTATCCAGCCTATATCTAGAAAATAAGGTTTTGCATTTGGAGTTCCCTGTTCGGGGGTAATGCAGGTCCACAGGTTCATATAAAATGCCCTTCTCTTTTAACACTTTTAACACTTTTAACACTTTTAACAAAGTCGTTCAGACTCCTCTTTAGCAGCTTCAGGGCATTTCCACTTACCTTTGTTATTCCTCCTAAATATTACAGCACGTTCCACATGGTGTGTGGGTAGAAGGGAGGGCAGAGGAGGGCGAAGGGAGGGCAGAGGGAAAGCACTGAGCTGTGAAACATAAGGAGTGGATGCTTTGCTTCCTTAGTAATCTCAAAAAAGTGCCAACAGCCCAGAACCAAAATGCTTTCTTCATATTAATTTTCTTATTAGTTAATTTGTCACGGCAATTTTAGGAAAGCTGCTAAAGCAGAGGTCATAATTACAGCTGAAACACTGGATACATTTGAGTGCATCAATTATAAAATTAACTTGGTTTGTAATGCAACAGTAAAAGCAGAGGCATTATCTGACCCAAGTGCAGCCAGATGCAAAGAGGTGACACGGAAGAGCTGGTTACATATATGTAATCACTCTGGGCTTAACATTGGCACAACAGAATGAAATCAGACTTTCCAACATCAAGGAATTAGTCGCCCCCTTATCATCTGCCTCTGTTCATTTAACAACCATAAAAAAGGCAAAAATGTACTTACAATAACATAGTCAATAAGGCAGCCAGCGCGTTTAGAGCTTTTAAAATCTTATTTGTACCTTTTAAAAGGAAAGGTACAATATCATGCTAGTATGACAGATGAGTTTGTAGGGACTGTCCATCTAAATCTGAAGCTCCAATGTACATAGTTCACATTTTTTCAGGGACAGAGCTAAAAGCACGATGACGTTTCAAACTATACCTCTGTACGAAGGAGCTCAGCTATGATACAAAGACATTTCAGCATGACCTCTGATTGCTTGTGACATTTCCAAACTGTTCTTTATTTCAAGAACACCATGGACTAACTTTAATTCATCTGAAGACGGTTCTGAAAGTGTTTACAAGCAGGCAGAGGTTTTTAACCCTTTGCCAACAGCCAGCAGTGGGGAGTGGACAGCTGCGATTAGAAAGCCTCCCCTGCCCAGAGCGCCAACCTGCACAGTTGCTCTCACTCCCCTTCTGCGTGCTGATGGGACACCACAGGCCCGTGGCTCTCTGCTAGGGTTTAGCACTGACGGCATGTAAAAGAACACAGAAAGCTCTTCTTCAACTCCCATCTATTTTTAAAGCAACTTTTTAGGGTCATGTTCTGTCCCTCTAAAAACTGATTGTATATCCCTGCTTGGAATGTAGTAGTGAGTCATGCAGCTCAGCAGACAAGAGCACAAATAGAGGATTTTAGAGGTATCTAATGAAAACCACTGGCTACCTGGGACGACTGAAAAGGTTGGAGTTGTTTGGGTTAGACGCCAGAAGATGAAGATGGAACAAAGCAGAGACGTACAAAGAATAGTACAGATAAGCTAAGCCAAGCAGTCACATTTACGCTTCCTCATTACATGATAATTCAATGCAGCAAATGAAAACTGATTAAGGAAGTATTTTTACCCTATAATTAGCCTGTAGGTTTAATTGGTACTGGACAACATTGATGCCAGGTCTTGGAAACTGGACAAATTGGAAAGAAAAAAAAAAAAAGGTCTCCATGTGAAAAAACAGGGATGGAAAACATTAGTGTCGGTATGCAATTTATTTTTCTGATATTTGGCAGAAAGCTAAATGTCCATGTAATCCTTTGAAGTTCCAAGAAGTGTTAGGATACAGCATACTGGCATATATACCAGCCTTTTCCAGCCCTGGGCTGTTCTATAAATAACAAAAATCTTTACAAGGCATGTTGCAAAGGATTTTGAAACCATTATCAGGGTTATAAATCCTTGTGTTTTGGAGCGTACTGCAATTTCTAAGTGACACAGGTCAGAAGGGAACTTCTATGGGCATGCTATTTCAGAACTGATCCTATATAAGATTTTATGCACCTCTTAGAATTGCCTGACATTGGTGTTTGTCAGGGCCAGACCTTAAATTAGCCAGGTTTAACCCCTGTGAGTCTGATCCATACTCACATGGCTATATTCCTATAAGGTTTCTTTTGTGTGCTGGCATATAGGTCTTTGTAGTTTGCATATAGGCTTCTGTTGTTCATACAAAGCATATATACAAAGCTGTAATTTGTTTGTACGTGTGGTTTGGCTGTGAGTTTCAATCTCAGTGTGTGACCATATAAATCTGTGGATGCAAAGCTCTTTTAGTAATTTGGGTGTGAGAGAAAGAAAGAAAGAGATTGTTAACATTTTAAGATTTGTTCATGAATCTTACCATTGCCAGCATTTTTTTTGTATTGCTCACTGTTTAAATACCAACCTTTCTAGTGTCTAATTTCCTTGCTAGCTCTGAATTTTGGGAAAAAAGATGTAATCTGTTCTTGCTTTGATGCTGCTACAGAGCTGCCTGTTCAGGGAGTAGCAACTATCTTCAAGCAATTCTCTTTGAAAAACACAAACTCAGCATTGCGCAACCTTCTAGATTTCAAGAAGGCCCCACAGCAGGGCTGCTTGCTACAGAGTTTATACAAGAGCCTTCCCATTGTGGAGCCAACGAGCCTGTGAAATTTTCACTTCTTTTCCCCTCTGCCTGCATCACGCTTGGCCAAGACTCAACAAGGGAGCTTTGGGAAACTGCCTAGCTTGGGCTAAAAGAAGTAGTACCTTTCTACCAGAGCAAAACCAATACAGTAACACAGCAAAACTAGCAAGCGTCTATGTGGTTAAGGAGCAGAGGCAGGCTACT